GGGAACTGATCACATGAAGGCCCCAGGGAAGGACTTGGGGGGCTAGAGCAAAAGGGTGTGATGGATGCTTGCTGCTCAGCTTTGACAAAGCCTGAGTCCTCATTCTGTCTGCTAGAAGTCTCCTAATTTCTTGGCTATCTTGCCTCCTCTGCCTGACTTAATCCTAAAACAATGCCAGAGGGCGGTACAGCCCTGTGCTGGAAAGGGCAGGTCCCCTGGGTGATCAGGCCTGAGAAAGAATACATAAACTCCTGTAACCTGCTTTGCTAAGAATACTCTTAATTAAATGATAAAGGTCCGGGCAGGGAATGAGTTTGGTCCCTTAAGTTTTGTAGACTTTCAGGTGACAGACCCTGACTCAGAATAAGGCTTCATAGTTCTTTGTATGCTATCTATTGTTTGATCCTTACTGCCTGACAATGATTAATGAGCTTTACTTGTATTCCTGGGCAAACAAACCCAATAAAAACCTATCAAGGCAAGGATCAGGGCGCTCTCCTGGAGAGAGTGGCCAGGCCACTCTGAGGCATTCTCCCCTTGAAAGAGTAGCCGTGCCATCCCTTTTCCTCCACAGGACTCAGTAGTCCATGTGAATGTCTCATTTCATTCATAACACTGCAGACACTTCAGGCCAGTGTCTGCATCAATTCATATTAACATTTCTCACTTGATATTTGTTATGATATAATTATTAACTTTGTAGCTATAATCTGATTAAGAAACTAAATGTTATAATTGAATATTTGACTTTATGATGCTGTAAATTTATATATGCAAGTTGCAATCCCCCTTTTTTACTTCTAGAATTATTTTACTGAAAAGTGAGAGATTACCTTATATTTCAGATAATGTTTATCATATTGTAATCATTTTTAGAAGCATGTAACAGTTAGTCTTGGAAATTGAAAGCATTTTGCAGATACTGACCATTTGTTTTAAAGCACACTAGATATAATTAGTTTATTTAGCTGTACTCCCAATTCCATAAAGATCTCTAATTGGTGGTAATCTGAGTTCTGAAGAATTGACATTTTTATCACTGACCATGTCCCAACATTTGTGGTAAGTAATTTCTATATTTGATTTCATTTAATCTTCATAACATCCACTTCAGATGGTTGTTGCATATGTAGAATGAGTGGACAGAAATATATCAAATTAGTACAAGTGATGTGTCAATATTAAATTTTAGTTTATATTTTCTTTTATTTAAAAAAAAATTTATTGCCCAAGCTGGTATATCTCAGTGGATTGAGTGCAGGCCTCTAAGCCAAGGGGTCACTGGTTTGATTCCCAGTCTAGGGCACATGCCTGGATTGTGGGCCAGGCTCTGGGTGGGGGTGTGTGTGAGAGGCAACCACACATTCATGTTTCTCTCCCTCTTTTTCTCCCTCCATTCCCCCTCTCTAAAAATAAATAAATAAAATCCTTAAAAATATTATCATTTAAAAAATATTCAAAATATTTTAACAATTTAAAATACTTGACATACGATATTATATTAGTTTCAGTTGTACAACATAGTGATTAGACATTTGTATAACCTAAAAAATGATCACCCTGATAAATCTAGTAACTACCTGATACCATACATAGTTATTATAATATAATTGTCTGTATTCCATATGCTGTACTTCACATCCCCATGAAAACTTGTAGAGAATTTGTATTAAAAATTTATTTGAGCCAAACAGAGGACATGCCTGAAAGCAAGACCTCAATAGCATGAGAAAAATGCTTTCTTTTTCTTACTTATTTTTTGTATTCTCCAATTTTTCCATAATAGGCATGTACTATGTTTATAATTTTAATAAAGCAATAACCAGTGAATCAGAATTTATTTGCTAAAGAATGATTATGTAGAAATGATCCAGAATAAAAGTCTATGAATTTCCCTGCCTCACACTCTCCAAATAACATTTTTCAGGACCCTCTAGAATTATATCTCTTACCACTATTTCTATAATTTACATTGAGTATGTAGTCAATTGGAAAAAAAAAGAGGACCAGAAAAGTGTCTTTTCAATTTCATGGGATCACAACCACTATGAAAACCAAATATATTGTCTCTTTTTTCAATGCTTCATCAACTTTGTGAAAATTCTTTGAAAAGTCTATTAAAAACGTTCATTTGAATAGATCTGGTAGGCTAGAACATCCTTGTCAAATATACTCCCTTATTCAGGCAGGCAAGGTTTCATTTAAGACTAATGAAGAATGAACAAATTTGCTGGATTGAATTTAGAATAAAACAAATATAAAATATTTTGATATTAATTATCCTCTAATCAAATGACAAATGTAACATTTTTTCCAATTTTTCTTATTGGTTATTTTTGTATCAAATAAATAAATTACATGTGTCTTTAAAACTCTTTTAACATAAATATACCAAATGGACTGAACATCTCTACAGCTTAGATTCCCAGACCTGCTCTTACTAGTTAATTCCTCATTGTTGCCCATGCTAGGTCAGGAGAAAATTGCCTCCCAAAATCTGGATGGAGTCACTAGCCTCTGGAGATCACCATGATATGCGATGAAACTGGGACTGAACTCAACAATTCTGAGCCCACACCTGGACCCAGCTGGCAGCACCTGCATTACCTGCTTCACCTCCCTATCTTAGCTGAAGAATTTAAGGAAAATTTACCTGTAACAATGAGCTGTATGCCAGGACCAAATACTTTGATTCCCTTGACTCCATTTGCCCACTATCTGAAAAGCCCTTATAGAAACATCCTTTTGTACCTGTTATAAAGTCGTGCACATATTTTCCAATAGTTATATAAACATATAAAGTTGACCCTGTAACATTAAACAAAGATGAAGCTCAGGAAAAAGCACATGAAACATAAATGCAGTCCAGAACTAAAGAACTGGCCCCTCTCTACCTGGGCACCTTGGGTTACGTCCTTTTACCTTTTCTCACCATTTTTCCTGAATCTTCTTCCTCTCCTCCCTTAAAGAGTTTTCATATATATATAAGTATATATATATACTTAAATATATATATATTTATATATATATATAAATACAAAAAGTATATATATATATATTTTTTTGCCTAGAGTATAATTTGGAGTTAATATTTCTTACAATTTCAAAGAGAAACAACAATAGAAATAACATATTGGAGTATTTAATAGATATATTTCAATATATTTTACAGGTATTTGTTATTTATATGTATCAAGATTAAGAGGTGGGTATCTGGATTGATTTTAAAGTAACTTCTTTCTAGAATCCATTTCACACTCATAGACCAGATAAGTTGTTACAGATGAAATTCTTAATGACCATCTATTGAATTATTTATTGCTGAAAGACTGCTTTTTTGGACTTCTTACCCTTACAGTTTCTAGGGCATTTATTACGCCTGCTGTGCTGTTTATCAAATGCTATAGTTTGGTTTGGTATTCCTGAAGCTGTCCCATCACGAGTGAGAAGGCAACGCTAAGTTATACAATTTAGTTTGTAATGAACTTTAGTACAACTGATATAGTTCTTTTTCCAGCTATAATATTTCCAGTAAGTTTGATGCCAATATAGACAGAAAATTCAATGGAATGATGTCAAAATGACTTGTCATTTTATAGAAATACCCTCAGAATCATATTTAAAGTATTTAATAAATGCATATTCAACATGACTTACTTGATCTTTTGGGGAGGAGGTAATTAATAATTATCTGCCATAATTAAAAGAAGAAGCATTGTTTTCACACAAGAGTGGTTATTAAAATATGAGCTATTACTAATTAAGTAGTCAATTAAAGAGTCCATTTCAATAGTCATACTGTAAGTAAACATTCAAAATTAAAAAATTAACAATATTTCTAATGTCATGTAATGGTCCTGACCATGTAATTTGGAATAAACAAATCTCAATTGAATCTTAAACTTTGCCCTAGTAACTTTTCATGTGACTTGAAGCAAATAACCAAATTACTCAAAGCATCAGTTTTCTTAACTATGAAATGGGAATAAGAGGATCTCCTGTATAGAACTATTGAGGAATTAGATAAGGCAATAAAAATTATTTGTCATGGTGTCAGGCCTTCAATAAATACTAGGTAATATAATTTTATTTAATGGGATGGTCTGGGGCCATTTTATCAAGTTTTTCCACAAAACAAAATACATGTATTTCATAAGCAATAACTCCTAGAAAAATTAAGAAAGGAAATAACTTATGAACCCAACACCTTCTGAGTCTATGGTAGCCACAAGCCAAAGAACATGGGGCCCAATCAAGCCAGAATCTAGAATACTTAGACACTAGACTAGAAGCTTTTTGAGTGCTGGCATTATGTTTTTTCCATTATTTTATCTCCTGCATTCAGAACAGAAACTGCTATGAATGCTTGCTGACACAGTGAATGAACAAATGAGGATATAAAATAATGCAAACTCTTTTCATAGATTGTGGAGCTGAAATAGTTTATTGAGCTGATAATTCTATTAAACTGGTCCATCTTTAGGCAATATAACAAGACTTGTAATATCATAAATTATGATGTTCTTTACTCATTCACTGTAAGGATTAAGTATTTGTGTGGCTGTTAGGGGTGAGATAAAAAACAAATAATTTATCAAATTATTGAGAGAATGAAGCACTATGTTTTATCAAAAAATATAGAAATTATTAACAATAGTGTCTCTCAATTAAAAGACTGCCTATAAGGAAAGTATCTTAAACACATGACCTATACCAATGGTTTACAAACATGATACTTAACATATTTTAATTTCTAGCCCAAGTCTACCCTTCTTTGTGTATGTGTATTCTAAGAAAAGAATTTCAATATTTTTACAATCAGAGAAGGAAATAAACCATTTACAAAGTAGTTTTGTTCCCATATACAGTGACTAGTAGCTGCAAAAATGCTATTCATATGCTGAGGCTGAGAATGTGTCAGTCAGAGCAGGGTGACCCTAAACTATTTTTATCTAAATAGCATCTACCAGTTTTGCAAAAACAGAAAAAAAGTTACTTACCCTGGGGGATTATTATGAGTTTAGTCCCTTCTGCAAATATCTTGATTCGGCCTGAGTGATCACACTGGTTACAACTCCTACAAAAATCTCACCATTCTCCTAAACTTCATATTCTGACCAGCATTGCCACCCACCCCCTGGCCCGGAAAAAAAAAGAAGAAGAAAAAAAAAAGCCATTAGATATTCTGGGTTCCTTTGGAAGCCCTTAAATATAGATTCTGTGGCATCTGATATTTTATGTTTTTCTCCTATAAATTGACCCAAATGTCTGTTTTCTATCAAGGCAGTAATTATTGAAAAGAAATGACAGCAAATGAAATTAATAAAATCAGGAAAAGAAGAGACCAACCCCAACTGATCAACCACAGCTTTTCTAACTTACCAGGAAATGTATTCAAAGAATTAAGACTTTTTTTACTTCCAGCTGTTCAATTGTGTAAACCTTCTCAGAGACTGCATCAAAAGGAAAGGCCCTTCCTTCTGTCCTCATGATCATCAGGGCTGTTCCTTTAGCAGTTTGGGAAAGTGATTCTGAAAGGAGGAAACTCCCCACTAACTGAAAAAGCAAATTTGCCAACACAAATATACTTGATGAATGTGAATAAATTTCATTTTTAATGAAGCCACATTTATCATTTGACATTGGTTGATAATTTACCAGGCCATTGAAAATGAGAAAATTATTTCTTGGTGACATTACTATTCCTGGAATAAAGAAGAAATATGTATAATTCTATCTCCTGTGAAGACGTCTTATTTAAGCTAAAATTTAAAAACAAAATCCAGTTCTACGATATGTTCACAGAATAATCCTCTTGGAAGTTGTTCTGTAATCTTGGCCTCTTATCTTGGATCAGGGGAAAACAAATCAGGAGAAGCTGCTGAGTGCTCCTGGGCATACAGATGATTTGTCCATCTGCCAGAACCCAGAGAGGACAGGCCCTGGTGACTCCCATGTGCACATCAGATCCAGGTCCAAACCTGGATCCCATGAGCAGACTTTGCCTCTGTCCCTGAGAATGAAGCTGTGATGTGGTCCTGGTAGGAAACTGTGCATTCACAGCACAACCTAAACCCAACACAATGGGAGAAGATGTGGGAGTTCGATAAAAATGTTTCAAGCCCTGGCTCAGTGGATTGAGCACGGGCTGGGAACCAAGGTGTCCCAGGTTCGACTCCCAGCCAGGGTACATTCCTGGGTTGCAGGCCATAACCCCCAGCAACCGCACATTGATGTTTCTCTCTCTCTCTATCTCCCTCCCTTCTCTCCCTAAAAATAAAGAAATAAAATCTTTAAAAAAATTATGTTTCGAAGGTTATTTTTTATCTGAGCATTTCAAGTTATTATTACTTAGAGCTACCAAATACATTTGCACCTATTGTAGATGTAAATAATACCCACCCGATTTCTTTCTAATAATTTGTCCTCTTTATTTCTTTATTCTAAGACCACAGCAAAATTATTTGGAGCTTTAAGAGTTGTTTGTATTTCATGATCGGCGATGAATTTAAGTAATAAAATGCAGGAGAGTAAGTAAGGAGTTACAAAATCTTTTATTAAATTTACAAGAAAAGATGAGAACTACATGAAGAAAACAGTATAAGAGTTTACAAACAGAAATAAAAGAAAACCTGAAAAAATGATAGATACACCATATTCATGAAGAAAAACCTCAAAATAAAAATTATAGTAATCCTTTCTAAGTTTAAATATATGAATTGACTGCTATTACAATCAGAATTATGACAACATTTTATATTTGTTCTATGATGTAGAGTTGGGGGGGAAGGTGATTTGATCTTAAATGTTATTGTGGAGAATAAATATGAAATAATTAAAAATAATTTTTGTAAGATATTAGTGAATAGGCACTGGGCACTTATTACAAAGCCACTGATATAACATGATAATGGTATAGAATATGAAACAAAATAAAACAGAAATTCTCCATAAAATGTTCCAAGTATATATTGATATTATAATATGATATGGAACATTAAAATTGTATGGATATGAAATATGAAATGGATATTAAAATCTGACTTTGCACTATTGATGATCTGCTATGAAAATGAAAATACCTCTCTACCTTACATCATATAAAATAGCTTCCTAGTAGATTAGTATTTAAATTAGAAAGTACCTAAAGATATGTGCTAGAAAAAACAAGTAGGAGACTCTTTGTGTCCTTTGTCAGTGAAGTTGCCATGGGAAATGGACAGGAAACACTTTTACTTTATTGTTAATTTTTGAGAAAGAGAAATTTAGAAAATTTTTACTCTATAGTATTTTCAAATGAACATTTAAAAAATAAATAAATGATGAGTGTTGGGAACCTCCCTGCTTGGTTTCAGGAGCTCTAACCCCACCATGGCTAAGGCTGAGAGAAAAAGGTTTAGGGACATAAGCTGCTAAGGAGACAAAAACTTATCCCCTCTCTCGTATCTCCCTGCTTGGCTGGGCATATGACTGGTTAGCCAATGATAAGTAAGATTCCTCAAGGAAGGAACAACTAAGACAGGCACAGTAGTGAAGAGACTACCAGGGAAGGACTTAGGGGATTATAGGAAAGGGGTGATGGATCTTCAACCCTTGGCTTTGTTATAGCCCTAGTCTTCATTCCACTATAGGAAGTCTCCTACTGTCTTGTTTACTTTGTTTCTCTGGCCTGACTCAAGCCTGAAAGAATGCCAGATAAGGGGGGCACAACCCTATATTATTGTAGGCTGTTCCCTGGGGGCAATCAAGCCTGAAAAAGAATTCATGAAGTCCTGTGAATCCTGCTTTGCTAAGAATACCCTTAGGCTAATCTATGCTAGCTATTTAGGCTTCAAACATAAAATGAGTTTATTTCCCAAAGTTTCATGGCCCTTTGGTGTCACTCTATCTATCTGACTCTGACTCAGAATAAGCCCTTCTAGTTCTTTGAACGCTGTCTATTTCTTGATCACTACTGCTTGATAATGTTTGATGAGCTTTGTCATATATGCCCTGTATTCCTATGCAAACTAAACCCAATAAAAGCGCAGGGAAAGAGGTGCTTGAGGCCCTTCTCCTCTGAGAGATTTGCCAGCCTTTTCTCCCCAAGCAGATCATGTCTTGGCAGATTTATTCTCATCTATAGCAGCCAGGAGAGCTCTGCAGGACAGAGTTCACCTACAGAGGAGGACTTAAGGAAAGGGACATATCAAATTTGTGCTTTAGGAAGATAAATGTATAAGCAGGAAGATAAGTTGGCCAAGGGATATTTCAAAGATGGTGACTCTAAGTCAGTAAGAGGACTCTGAGAATCCACGTTATTGCAGTGACAGTGGGGAAGGCAGAAGTACCGAAGCAATCAATGTTAATAGATTTATTAGAGAAGTAAAAGAACTCACATGAGATAAATCAAATTGCCATTAAGGAAGTTGAAAGGGAAGGAAAAAGCATTTTAAAATCAGAAAGATCAGATTCCAGTTCCAGGTCTTTGACTCCTGGTGATGTGTACTTAGGCCCTTCTTAGAGTCTGTTTCCTTGTCTTTAAAATGGAGATAATAGTATCTATTTCTCAAGACTTTTGTCTAATGGGTTTAGAACAGATGATGTGAAAGTTCACCTACAGGGAATTCACTTCCTAAGAAACAGTGGAAACATCTTAATCTTTTGTGCAAAAATAAATAATTTTGTCTCTAATTCTGCTTTATGTAACACATGCATACACATTCACAACTCACTCTCCATATCCTGAGGTGACTAGCTAAGGCAACAAAAATTCTACTTCAAACCTGATAGTGGATCAATAAATATGTAAGTAATAACCAAGTGAAGTGTGGCCAGCTCAAGTTTCAACTGAATTGCTTGAATGAAGTTTTGTATCACTTTTTCAGGTTTGATGATGATTTCATGGTCAACCAATTTCAACCAAATTTGATAGACCATCAGAAGTTATGAAGATATTCACCCTGCTAAGTTCAGAGAAATAATCCAGGACAGACTCATACATGTGGTTCAGGGACAGGGGGACACATCCACCATCTTTCCTGAGTCTTAATCGCATCTCCCCCAATGGGAGATCCTCCCAATTTTGCCAGAAGTCCTTTCAGAAACAGTTGGTGTTAGGCTAGCAGGAAGAAGCAGGCAAAGGCAGATCCTGCAGTGCCTTGGGATGTTTGCTGACCCACCCCTGGTCCCTGTGTTGGTAAAAACTGGCCTTTGAGCATAAGCTGGTTTTTCCTATGTGTGTCAAGTTAGTGGAGGCAGCCACAAACTGTGGATCACTTGTAGCTTTGAACAGGCTGCCAAGAACCAGACATGGACAGTATTTGACATTGGTTTACACCAGCATCAGACAACAATCAACCAGTTTTGAAATGGAAATCCTAGGATGCAGGTACTAAAGTCTACTGAGATGAATTCTAATTTGTTCTTTTTCATTTTTTTTTTACTTTTTCTCTTTCATAGCCTTTTTATTAACTTTTTTCTTTTTCTCTGTTTTTCTTCATATCTTTCATTTTACTCTTTTCTTACTATATTTTTCTTCTTTCCTTTTCATAGTTTTCTTTATCTTTCTTTGTATTTTTCCATTTTCATCTTTCTATTCTTTAGTTTTATTTCTCTTCCCTCCCTCCTTTCATAATCATTATTTATTTTCTTTGGCCTTTTCATATATTTTTATTTTTACTAGTCTATTTCTCTTTACTTTTTTTTTATTCTTTGCTCTTTTGTTGTTGATTTTGCTGTTTGATTTTTTGCTGGTATTTTCTTTGTTTTTTAAAGTTGTTTTGTTTTGTTTTGTTCTGTTAGCACTTATACAATAGTTTGCAAGATGAAGTTGTGGTTGAGCCTCTCAGTCAGCCAGTCAAAGGGGAGATCCAACAAACAAATGGGCCAATAACAATAAGACACAATTACAACAGCAGAGCCCACATAACATACACAAGGACATTCCTATAACATCCACCTCAGGAGAGATCAAGGAGATTGTACCACTGGGTCCCACAGGACTCCATACCACAAAAACTGGTAGTCAAAGTGCATGTATATAATACATAGAAGCAAATACAAAGAGGCAGCTAAAGTGAGGATATTAAGAAACAACCACAAAGAATGAATTGGGGGAAATCCTCAGGAAAAAAAAAACAAGCAATTTATCAGTCATGGAGTTCAGAGCAATGGTTATAAGGATGCTCAAGGAACTTAGTGAGAACTACAAGGAACTTCAGTGGGAACCACTAGAAACTTAGTGGGAATTACATCAGCATGAAAAAGACATAGAAATTATGAATAAGGATGAGTTGGAAATGAAGACTTTACTTGGAGTTAAAAGCAGACTAGATGAAGCAGAGGATCAAGTTAACAATATGGA